CCTCTATAGCAGCCTCTCTGACAGAGACAAGGAGAGTGGGTTGCTCAGTGACAGCCTCTGTGGCAACAGCAGTGAGAGCGAGCGGCTCTGTGGCAGCCTCCATGGCGGAAACAAGGAGAGCAGGCTGCTCAGTGACGGCCTTCATAGCAGCAGCAGTGGAATCAGGTGGCTCTGTAGCAGCCTCCATGGCCGAGACAAGGAGAGCGGGCTGCTCAGTGACGGCCTTCATGGCAGCAGCCGTGAGAGTGGGCTGTTCTGTGGCAGGCTGTTCTGGAGTGAGCAGCTCAGGGACCTCCGAAACCACCGATCTAAGGACCACCCGAGTCGGGTCCTCCAGGACCACCAGACTAGGGACCACCAGATTTGGGTCCTCCAGGACCACTGGACTAGTTAACAGCCTAGAGATGCAAGCAGCTCGCGCAGACCTCAGCAGTGGGTCCGCCAAACTGAAGGCCAGCCTCAAAAGCCTTAGGCCCACCCTGTGAAGAGGTTCGGGACTGGCAGCCATCTTGTGGAGAGGCTCTGGAAAGGCAGCCATGAAGAGACGAGACTGGAGTGGCGGCCATGTCAGGAAGGGACTCTGGAGTTGTGGCCATATTGAGAAGAGGCTCTGAACTGGTGGCCATGTCAGGACAAGACTCTGGAATGGCGGCCATCCTGTGAAGAGGCTCTGGACTGGCAGCCATCTTGTAGCCCAGCCCCTTTGCAGCACTCCTAAACTCCAGGGCAATATCCCTCAGGTCAGTTCCCCATTGACGGAGGGAGCTTAAGGCTTCAAACTGGAGAATGTGTTGGTATAGGGGGCTGTAGACCTTAGAGGCTGGTGGATGGTGTGATGCCTTCATCTGCTGAGTCCTCATTTGGCTGTTTTGTTCTGTCACAGGACGGGTGAGTGGAAGAAGCAAGGACTCAAATGCAGGAAGTCTGGGCTCTTTATTAATGGTGAAAACTAAACTAACAAAAACTACCCAGAGGGGGAAAAACAGACAGGCAGGCCAGGGCACAGCACAGCAAGGCAATGCAAACATTCCACACACATGAAGAATACTCACTGACGTAAAACAATGAGACAGCACAGGACTGCAGACACCAGGAGAATAAATAGGGAGACAAACGAGGAGGGTAACGAGGGAGACACAGGTGAAGTAACTGAAACAATAATGAGATAACAAGTAGGGCAGGGTCAGACAATAGACAGGAGAGCATATGGCACCAACAACAAACAACAAGCCATGTGCTCAACAAACAGGCACAGTGACCTCTGGTGGCCATCTAAGGCACACCAGCTGAATACCGTGACAGACGTAGTGTTAAGAGGGTTTTTTAACGTTGTCTCTTAGCTCGCTACGAAGACTCTAAAGGTGTGTCTTAACTAAATGTATACCTGTTCTAGGCGTGTTCCCCGAACTATACCTTTGGACTTGGAGGCTGCTTAAGATATGCCTCCTTACGTGTGATGTTACCAGGTGCTGTCCATGGGGGTGGTGCTGAATCGGTTGATATCGATGCCTCGAGAATCGATTATTCATTCTATGGACTGGCTTCTTCAGTGCGTTATGTGAGAAAGCGGTGTTCTTTATTTAAAAAAAAGTGTTGATTTTAAATAAAGACAAGGAACTCTTTCCTGTTAGAACGCAACGAACTTGCGTGAAACTTTTACTTTCGCTTTGCAACATACATCAGGTCAGGGAATAAAACCAAGAAAGAAAAATATATGCCCAGAGCACCTCCCAGTGGTCACCACATAAAATACAATGGGAAAAAAACTACACGAGACACTGCTTAATAATTTAACAGCTTTTAACAGAAGAGAGAAAAAAAACACATTGGGCCTACACAAGTCCAGCAGAAAAACATTCAGGTAAGAGTGCTCATTTACTCCACAACCAGGGTTGATTGCCCAGCAGCCACATCATATATTGGTGTAAATCACTAATTTATTTTATTGGATGAGGTACTCAATAAAAGCGCTACACGGGAAACATATTATCAGCAGCTACTATGGCGGAGAAAAAAGAGAGAAAGAGGAGAGCCACCAGCAGCTGAATTTCGGGGCAGAGAGGGTAGCTCCGTCGAGTTTGTCTCTCTCTCTCCTTTTTTTTTTTTAAGTATTTTTTTATCTTTATTTTATTTATTTATTAAGAATTGCAGCTTAATTGAACACTGGGTGTATTACTTCAGAATTGCTTTCATATAGACTGAGATGTAAAGAACTGTGAACTGTCAACAGTGATAAGGTATAGCTAAGACTGGTCCAGACCAACCTTACGAAAGTATGACTTACAGAAGGTATAATAAGAACGTTTCGGGAAACACATATTAATGATAAGATACAGCTTGAGGTTTAACTTAAGAACGACGTAGCATTAAGAAGGTTTCGGGAAATGCAGCCCAGGTATCTTTAGTTAAGTTTTAGAATCTTCGTAGCACGCTAAGAAACAACTTTATCGGGAAACGCAGCCGTGAATATTGAGTCTGACCCCGTTAGTTACTAATGCCCGCTCACTTTTGCCCAGGCCCTCCCAAAAATAAAATTCTGCCTACCCACTGGAATATTAAGAAAGTTGATGTCTAACTTTAAAAATTTAAGGAGGAAAAGGGTACATCCCTTTATGCATTTAAGGGTTAATGTGTGAAAATCTCATTGCTTGTACATTGTTGTAACAGGATGGTATTGGCTTCTTTTTTTGGCTCTCAACCTTAGATCTTCTAATTTAAATTCACTGAGGAACATGTTCTATTTACTGACATATTAGCCCATCACTCATCAAGACAATAGTGATAGACTTGTTAAAAAAATGTGGGAAAAGGAGCAGTGAGCCATGGATAAGAATCAAACCGATGTAAAAGACAGGTTTAAACCTGCTATCTTTTGAGATAGAAATCATTCTTTTGACAGCCTGATTGCACAATTAGGTGTTATCCGGGCTGTCTCAGGCATGACATGCCTGTGAATTTGTGTGTTCACCCATTCAGCCTATTATTTGCAGTTGTGTGTTAGAAAATGTTAGACAAACAGCAGCAATGCATAATTCTGTATAAAGGACTCGCACTGAGGCGGGAGAGAGAACCCATCCATCAGCCAGCAAGTAACGGTAAGACTTTTCAGTTCCAAGCTGATCCGGTTCATTCTGTAAAGCCGGGAACACACTACTGTCAGGCCGATTATGAATGTAATTTAGGCTCAGTCAGTGTTTTCAGTCGGTGTTTAAAGTCGTTAAGTGTGTGGTGTCTAAAGAATTTAAGACCAGCTGTTGCCAGTCGTCCTCACAAAGATTATTTTTATAATAGCCATTTCATTTGCAACTGACGCCGACGACCTGCACCTGTTTCCAAATATGTAGGCCTGCTAATTTGTTCGTGACGGTGACAGAGACGTGGTAGTTTTACTATGCGTTCTACGGTTTATTTTTTAATAGGATCATTGAAAAGAAGATTGACGGTGTTTAAAGTCTGATTGATAACTGGACATTGTTAATTGTACCTAAAGGGGGTTATTTTTAAAATTTCTCAGTCTATTTTCAGTTATGCTAGTGAAGGATCCTTAGATCCTCACGTGCAAATTGTGTGTGTTGTGTTTTTATTTTTATGTTTTTTTATTCATTTATAATAATTTATTCACATAATCATTTTATAATCATTAGTCATTGATATGATTTATTATCTGATTATTTTGATTATTTGATAATTTTTTACCATTTATCATTATATCATTTAAATATTTTTATTGTTTATTAATTTATTATGTTTATTCATTTATTATGATTCTATATATTATATTTCTTGTAAATTTTTCCTTCTTTTGTGTTTCCATTGTTGTTCAATCTCATGCTTGTGGGGTTTCATGAACTGTTTTGTCTGTTTGAACAGAGATAGATAAGAGGGAATGTTTATGGAAACCCAAGGTTTATGGGATGTTGTTGTGAAGCAGTTTTGGTATAACAGTACATGTTGAATTTGTGCTGATCAGACGAAGTTTGAACATTGAGACATACGCAACTAAGATTGTTCAATAAACTCTGTTACTTTTTACCATCATCACTTCGTCTCCTGATTCTGCTCTTCTCTGGCTTTCCTCTCCAACTTCTTGACTGTTAAACACTCATTTTGGGTATTTTTGGATACCAGACAAGACTTGCCGGGTTTGGGTATTAACAGCGCTGCTGACTAGTTATTCTGTTACTGGACAAACTGATATTTTCTGATGGGATCTGGCATCCGGGGTTATTTTCTGATGGCATCTGGCATCCATAAATATTATCTGGCGTGGAGACCCGATCTAACATTAGGAACTTAAAGTTTAAAATACGTCCACAATATTTAAGGATATATTGATGGTTAAAGGTCCCCTTATATTGACACCTAATAATAATAATAATAAAAAAGTAATTTGTTCCAGCTTAGAAATTAGCCAGTCATGATTAATTTGTATGACTAAAACTGTTTATTTTCCAAAATTTACTATTTGTTTATTTATCTGTAAAACTTTTTTTCTTAATGAGGGAAAATGTACTTAGTAAACCTTTAAATAAAGGAATATAATAATACAAGAATAAATATTGATGAAATGATTAACTAAATCACAATAATTTGTTATATAATTAATAAGGAACATTTGGCACTTTCCTCATTGCATCCTGCAGTCTAAAGATAATGTATGCGTCTCATTTAACATGTAACGCAGTACAGTCAATAATATTATTGATTGAACAACTTGCTGAACTTTCAGGGGCCTCAGTTTTCGAGAACAGGTGTGGTCTTATTGCGGAATGTGACTTTTGTGTCCAAAGATTATAATAAACTGGGCTGGGGCCCATACAGTCATGAAGTAAATTAAAATGAAGCAATGTAGAATTTTCATATACATGGTCAAAGGTGGAATTTTTATATGCATGGTCAAAGGTGGTTTTGACCCAATGAAAACTCATCTGACACACTATGGATCGGAAATCTCACTCATTTTTTTTTTTTACTGCTGTAATCCATTTTGGATGTGTTTTTAGGTTAGGAATGATTCATAATTTTGTGGATGTGTGAGACGTGACACAATATTTTAAAGGCAGCCATGTCTTAATAATGTAACTCCATTGGGGTTAATCATTTGCTGAGGTCTGATTGCATGACATCTTCTGAACACTGTGAGATAAGACATTAAGTATAAATACTTGTCATCAGAGACTATCAATGATCACAAATTAAGGGGAGATACAGGAGGAACAGAAGCAGATTGAAAACAGGTTAGGTAAGAAGGTCTTTATATTATATTATATTATATTATATTATATTATAAACTCTGTTACTTTTTACCATCATCACTTCGTCTCCTGATTCTGCTCTTCTCTGGCTTTCCTCTCCAACTTCTTGACTGTTAAACACTCATTTTGGGTATTTTTGGATACCAGACAAGACTTGCCGGGTTTGGGTATTAACAGCGCTGCTGACTAGTTATTCTGTTACTGGACAAACTGATATTTTCTGATGGGATCTGGCATCCGGGGTTATTTTCTGATGGCATCTGGCATCCATAAATATTATCTGGCGTGGAGACCCGATCTAACATTAGGAACTTAAAGTTTAAAATACGTCCACAATATTTAAGGATATATTGATGGTTAAAGGTCCCCTTATATTGACACCTAATAATAATAATAATAAAAAAGTAATTTGTTCCAGCTTAGAAATTAGCCAGTCATGATTAATTTGTATGACTAAAACTGTTTATTTTCCAAAATTTACTATTTGTTTATTTATCTGTAAAACTTTTTTTCTTAATGAGGGAAAATGTACTTAGTAAACCTTTAAATAAAGGAATATAATAATACAAGAATAAATATTGATGAAATGATTAACTAAATCACAATAATTTGTTATATAATTAATAAGGAACATTTGGCACTTTCCTCATTGCATCCTGCAGTCTAAAGATAATGTATGCGTCTCATTTAACATGTAACGCAGTACAGTCAATAATATTATTGATTGAACAACTTGCTGAACTTTCAGGGGCCTCAGTTTTCGAGAACAGGTGTGGTCTTATTGCGGAATGTGACTTTTGTGTCCAAAGATTATAATAAACTGGGCTGGGGCCCATACAGTCATGAAGTAAATTAAAATGAAGCAATGTAGAATTTTCATATACATGGTCAAAGGTGGAATTTTTATATGCATGGTCAAAGGTGGTTTTGACCCAATGAAAACTCATCTGACACACTATGGATCGGAAATCTCACTCATTTTTTTTTTTTACTGCTGTAATCCATTTTGGATGTGTTTTTAGGTTAGGAATGATTCATAATTTTGTGGATGTGTGAGACGTGACACAATATTTTAAAGGCAGCCATGTCTTAATAATGTAACTCCATTGGGGTTAATCATTTGCTGAGGTCTGATTGCATGACATCTTCTGAACACTGTGAGATAAGACATTAAGTATAAATACTTGTCATCAGAGACTATCAATGATCACAAATTAAGGGGAGATACAGGAGGAACAGAAGCAGATTGAAAACAGGTTAGGTAAGAAGGTCTTTATATTATATTATATTATATTATATTATATTATATTATATTATATTATATTATATTATATTATATTATATTATATTATATTATATTATATTATATTATATTATATTATATTATATTATATTATATTATATTATATTATATTATATTATATTATATTATATTATATTATATTATATTATATTATATTATATTATATTATATTATATTATATTATATTATATTATAGTGTGTGTGTGTGTGTGTGTGTGTGTGTGTGTATGTATGATGGATACATAGCATTTACTTGAATTTACTTGAAGAATTTACTTGATTTATGTGTATTTTTTATATTTATTATATTTATTTACACATTGATACATTTCCTCCTTTTATAATATTTTAACCTAATTCCCCTTAATTCTTGCCAAAGATTTAAATTCACTTAATTTGTCTAGTTTAGTTCGTTTTTATGCATGAAAAAATAAATTGCACCACATTATTACTTCAAAAAAATACAAATATGGCTACATTTTTATAAAAGCAACTATATGATTGAGAAAAATGTCTCTGTGTCTCACAATGAAACAAATTTATGAAAATGTGTTTTATATAGATGTTTCCAGATATCTTTAACTAAACATTAGGGGTGTTTTTTTGCACAGGCCAGCTTTACTAAAAATATTTGTCATCTTGATTCAGATGATCATGAAGTCATCAGTGCCTGTCGTGGCCCTGATCGCACTAGTGGTGTCCAGGGTGCAGACATTTGTTTCAGTTGGGGGTAGCAGAAACACCCATGTGAACATTACTGGCAATGCTGTGATGGAGAAGATCCGTGAGGTGTGTGAAGCAGTGGCTGAATCAGAAGGAAGAGATTTCAAACCAACGGTGAGTTTGTGTACAAGTAAAGGCATATGAAAAAGCACTACCACGAAAACTGTGCATTTCTTCGGAAAACATATAGCTGCCTTTGACTGAAAAATAGACCAAGTCATTTTTCAAACATATGACACATAATTTCATTTCCCACTTTAACGCAGGGCTCATCAGCAGAGGAGCTGCTGCGTGCGTGTCTGGGCACAGCCACAGGTGAGGTTTCAGGTGCCAAGTTCCGTACGGCACTAAATCAGATCTACATGCAGAATGGCTTTGTGGACCGGGACTTCATGAGCAGCGCACCACACCACTTCAATAATGAGGCCTTTAATGAGGGACGCAACCTTATCATTCAGGGGACTGCGGCTATTAAAGCGAACGTCCGCACAGACAACCTTCAATCTGCCCGAGAAACACTAGGGCGAGTGTGTCACACACTGCAGGTCAGAGAGAGGGAGATAAAGTCAGTGACTTTGCACAAGCATATTGCTTAAAAACTGCTCAAGAACATGTTTTTACTCATTAACTATTTGATGACATTTACCTATTGAAAAAAAAATTAAGATTAAAAACATACAAAATCTAAATACATAATAAATATAAATATACATGTTTCTCTAAAATGTGTGTCTTTCAGCAAAAATATTTAAAAAAAGTTCACCTAAACATATTTGTCAATACATTTACTTCTATTAAAAATGCAGTAAGGACTAAAAACATAAAATATAAATATATAATAAATATAAACATACGTTTCTCTAACACGTGTGTCTTCATATGGAAAAACAAACAAACTTTTTAAGCATTAATTTCATTATTTTTTCTATTTTTCCCCCAGGACTTTTACAGCCACAGTAACTGGGTTGAATTGGGTAACAAAAGTCCATATGCCAACCTCATCAGACCGGATCTCAACATTGAGAAGATTGCAGGTACATAAAGCCAGTGTGTGTGATTTATGAGAGAGACTCATATGCGGAAAAAAAAAACCGATTGCACCATTTTTTTGTGTTGACATGTCCAATGTTCAAGTGTAATTAAATTGATTGCTTATAAAAAACAATGTTTCTAATGAAAACTGGAGATAAGTTAACAGATGACTTGGTTCATAACAGATAACAGTACATATCACATTGTATGAGATTAATCTATGTTGACTGATCCTGAATAGGAAACAAATAAATTGAGTGCACGTTTCCGATTTGCCTGTGGGTTTTAACAAATGTATACTGCATTAAATAGATTGCATGTGTATGTGTTAATGTGCAGACATTACAATGCCAACATGCAGTGACTGTGCCAGTGGTACCTGTCCAAACCAGCTGCTTCCTGCCATTCTCAATGGGAAGTACCTCACTTCAGGATATATGGGCTTGTTCTCCAGTGACAAACCTCAAGGTGAAGAGACAGACATAGGTTTATACCAAGAGACATGCATGGGCACACATTCTGTAAAAAATATATGTAACTACTTAGTAACTTAAATTTACAGTCTAATAACCATGTAAATAGATGAGTTGTTGAAAGCACAAATCAAACTCAAATTAACAAGTTTTGGTGTTCAGTTCTAAGTTGTCCTATGGGTAAACAAATGAGTTACGACTCATTTCAAAAAATGTTGTAGTAACTAGGATGTTGATGGTAGGGTCGGGGCTCAACCCATTTCCTGACACATCTTGCACATTTTTTCTTTCTTTCCAATAATACTCAATACAGCAAAATCTATTAATTATATTGTGTTTATGGGGTGAGAAGTGGTTTCAATTAAGCAAGGTCCAAGTTTATCAAAGAGAATGACTTTGCAACAACAGTAAATCTGTTTATAACAAACCTTCATCAAAAGCAGTAAAAGCAGAGCTAAAACATGTAGTATTTCAAAATTTTGAAGTGCAAGCCTTTGATATTTGACTTATCTGGTTTATTCTATTTCCTCACTTAAGCAACACTTAAAGGAAATAAAACAAGTAGAAAGTATATACGGGAGTGGATTTGGAAAGAAAATATTTAAGTTATAAAATTTCATTCACTTTTATTTGTCTTTTATGTGTAAAAGGAAAATGTAGCCATGGTGGGGAGACTGACCTCAGCAGTTCCCAGAATCCTCGAGGTGGGATCAGTAAAGATGAGCCCCGTTCCCATAATACTGATCAACACAATAATGCTGTAAACTTGGCAGCTGAAGCCACCCTGGAGCTGCTAGAGGACATCCGTGGAGCTATAGGAAACAAGGACTACCTTCGGTATTGGAATAGATTCTTTGTATATATCTTTAGACAAAAAGATTTTATAACTTGCAAAGCTGGGAGTTGTTCTCTTAACAACCTGTTCTCTACACTACTGTTCAAATATTTGGAGTCAGTTCGATTTTTTTCTGAAAACTATTAATACTTGTATTCAGAAAATATGCATTACATTGATCAAATGTGACAGTAAAGACATTTATAATGTTGCAAATATATTTCTATTTCTAATAAATGCTGTTCCTTTTCTATTCACGGTTTCCACAATTTTTAACAGCACAAGTGTTTTCAACTGTGATGATAAGAAATTTTTCTTGAGCACCAAATCAGCATATTAGATTTTTTTATTTCATGTCACACTGAAGTCTGGTGTAATGGCTGCTGAAAATTCAGCTTTGCCATCATGAAATTACATTTTAAAATAGAGTAAAATAGAAAATAGTTCTTTTAATTTGTGAAAATATTTCACAATATTGCTGTTTTTACTGTAGACTTATTTTTGCTCAAATAAATGTAGCCTTGCTGAGCAGAAGAGACATTAAAAAGTCTTACTGCACCCATACTTTTGAATGGTAGTGTATATAAATATAAATGTATTATTTATTTTTTTTTTTTAACTAATTTTAAATCCATTAACCAAAATAACTGTCCCTCTTTTTTCCTCTTCATCAGGCTGATGGGTATCGCAAGATCTGCAGTCCTAGTTTTTGTGATTGACACCACAGGCAGTATGACTGACGACATTGCAGAAGCCAAAAGAGTCGCCTTCAACATCATTGACAGTAAGAAAGGAACTCAAGATGAACCATCTGAATATATTCTGGTGCCATTTAATGATCCAGGTGAGTGCAAAAAAGATTTCCATTAAGCACTGATTTACATAGCACATAGAAATATTTGGTAAAAAATAATCAATTTGAATTACACTGAACTGTTTTTATTGAGACTTTTCATATTTGAATGCAATTTATAATAGGTTTTTTTTAATACCAATATTCGTTCGTTATCTTGGTTTTTTTCCCTCCGAGTTTGTTTTTGTCTGCGAAGAAAGGATGCAATTTGAATTTGACCAAGATGAGGTATCTTAGGAGACATAATGAAGCATAATGAAGCCTTTATGTTGGGAACATGCCTATGGTGACATAAAATATTGCCTTTGTAGGCAGGTTACTAAGATTTGGAACAGAGCAATGATATTTTTTCATTTATATTATGGCAAAAGAGATCAGATATAGTCCAAATTAATATTAATTACATACAGACACAATATGTTCACATTTTGTATGAATTTGTAGAATTTGGACCACTAATAAGAACCACAGACTCAGATGTGATGAAGTCAGAGATCTCCAAGATCAAAGCTGATGGAGGAGGGGATACCCCAGAAATGTGCCTGTCGGGACTTCAGGTACTGTGCTGTGTGGCCTTTCAGCCAATCATCTCAAATGTCATATGTGACCCTGGACCACAAAACCAGTCTTAAGTCACTGGGGTATATTTGTAGCAATAGCCAAAAATACATTGTATGGGTCAAAATAATAGAGTTTTCTTTTATGCCAAACATCATTAGGATATTAAGTAAAGATCATGTTCCATGAAGATATTTTGTAAATTTCCTACCGTAAATATATCAAAACTTAATTTTTGATTAGTAATATGCATTGCTAAGGACTTAATTTGGACAACTTTAAAGGCGATTTTCTCAATATTTTTTATTTTTTTGCACCCTCAGATTCCAGATTTTCAAATAGTTGTATCTCGACCACATATTGTCCTATCATAACAAACCATACATCAATGGAAAGCTTATTTATTCAACTTTCAGATGATGTATACATCTCAATTTTGAAAAATTTACACTTAAGACTGGTTTTGTGGTCCAGGGCCACATATATGAATAGCGATCAAAGTAGTTTCCAGTTAGAACTAAGAACTATTATATTATTAGAATCAGTTTTTATTGACCACTCTACAAGGTTCCTCTACAAGGTTTTCTAACCTTCTGTTTCTCCCACAGTTGGCCCTGACAGGAGCTCCTTCTTCCTCCTTTATATATGTGTTCACGGATGCTCCACCTAAGGATACACACCTGGAGAAAACCATCAACGCCCTCATTCGCAGCACCAAGTCTACGGTAAAATGGTCCATCCTTGTGTTACATGCAGTCCTTGCCATCAAAATGTTCACCAGCCCTCCATCAGTTTCCCACTTTTCCATCTCTCACCCATTCTATTCAGGTATCTTTCTTCATGACAGCATCAAGGAGGAGGAGAAGGACACTGAAGGCATCGTCACAGTTTCAGGTGTATTATGACATGGCCTTGGCCTCTGGGGGTCAAGCCATTGAGGTCTCCAAATCCAGCCTCTCTCAAGCCACTGACATCATTGTTGACACCTCTACTTCAGCTTTGGTATGATCAGCATCTTATAGTCAATTTACTACTATAAACATCTCACAAACAAAACAGTTGCAAAAATATATATAAAATACAGCATATTCAAAGAACTTTCTCTTTCTCAAAGAACCTATCGCTTTCAGTTTTGCAATTGTTTGCACTCTCTTTCTTCATCCATCAGGTGACAATTCTTCAGCGCTCCAGGGATCCAGGACTTGTAGAGAGTTTCCCCTTCCTACTGGATAAGTCTGTGTCCAACACTACCATCTACATCACAGGAAGTAGCCTCACATTCAACCTACGCAGCCCCACAGGTAAATTCAGAGGCACTTTTAACTAAATTAACTAAAATAAAAATGTAATTAACATAAAAAAAGCTTTTTTTTTCGTAACCTAAACACATTTTCATGACTGTACATGGTATCAGGTATCATGGGACCAATTAGTAGAGCCCGACCGATATGGGCTTTTTGGGGCTGATACCGATATTATATATCGATATATCGGCCGATATTCTTTGTGTATATTATAGTACAGTACCAGTCAAAAGTTTGGACACTTTCCCATTTGTGTGTCCAAACATTTGACTGGTACTATATATAGAATACAGTATATACATAAACAGAATATACAGTATATACATAAACACATTTTTTGCAATGATCACTCATATGTGGTGATCAAACACTTATAATGACCTGATAAAGATATGTAATGATGGAGGCAGGGCATTTAACAGTTTAACAATAAACTTTATTATCCAAAATGAGTCTGACATCAGTGCACTGAACAATAAAGTTGAAGTTTATTCAACTTTAATTCAATTCAATTCCATTCAACTTTATTCCGTTTAAATATAAATTCACGTCTTGCGCACTTAAATGCCCTTTGAATGTAACGTGTACGGTTCCCTTGGAACTGGAATCATGGCGGAATTTCATGTGAAGTCCACTTCGCAGGGCACTTACGGTCGAATAAGCCAACGCTTGAATGCTGCTGCCTGAACAAGAGACCTCGTTACTGAAGTGAAAGTGTTGGCTGGTGATCTCTCCACCAAATTCGGGGGATCCCTTCAGCTCGAGGAGCCCTCGGGTTCCTCGAGCTGAAGGGATCCCCCGAATTTGGTGCGGATTCGCAGCGCCTTTATGGAGATATGGCTGTTCAAAGTTTCAATGGTCAACGCCTCATTCAAACACGCCCCCACATGTCTACGTCACGATGTGGAAATATAATGCCGCCCAAATGTTCATGCAAAGAAAGAAGGTGTGGTTTCAGGAACCGCAGTAGTGTTGATGCAGTCATGTCAGGGAGACGCTGTGTGTTTCTGTGCGAAAGCAAAAGCACTTTATTTGGCCTTGTATTTGACAAACAACGTGAAATATACCTTATGTTGATGGAAAGTAGGAAATAACATCATAAACTGACACTTGAGATAATAAAGCACACATTTTCCGCTTCGAAATCATGACGTCGGGATTTCACGCATGCGCGCCGAAGGCGAAACAGGGGAACTGAATTCACCGGAACACCGAGAAGGGTATAACTGCAGCCCGGAGATCCAAATGGGGGCGGGAACTCCAAAACGGGGGGGGAGCTGCAAAATAGGGCGTGGCTTCCTCCCATTGACCGACAGGCACATGACACGCATGCGCACTTTTTCCCCAATCCACTTCAGTGCAAACTCCGCCCCACAGCTGATTCTAAAGATTTTATTGCAGAACAGCACAACCCAGATGTTCGAATTTGTGCAACGCATTTTATGGACGACAGTTTTGTGAACCTAGGAGAGTAGCCTACAAGGGTGGCTGTGCAAAGGCTATTTCTTAAAAAAATGGGTCAATTACGACTTTGCTATGACAATCAGGCGCTTATTCTGAATCAGCTACTGTAAGTATATTTTCTTAATAGTTTAAGTATTTGCTATTGACTGTTCAAATGCGGAGTTTTGCATGCACTGGGTCAGCTGGCCAATCAGAGCAGACTGTGCTTGTCGGAAGGAGGGGCTTTGTAGAAAACGAAGCGTTT